TATCGGATTTGCGCCGTTCACACTGTCACACCATGATCGGATATGGGTCGCATAGGGTCAAAAAAATCGGATTTGATGCGCTTTCGCCTGCAGTGTGAACGTAGCCAAAATGAAGGTTTGCAAGTCCTGACTTAAATCCGATGTAGATCTTTTGACATTAACCCTAAACAGGTCGCCCATGCTCGAAAACCCTCCATTGTGGCTGAATTAAAATTATTCTGCAAAGAAGAGTGAGTCAAAACTTCCCCGTGATGTGAACAACTCATTGACAGTTATCACAAACACTCGAATGCAGTTAGGTTTTTTATTCTTAACAGATGAAATCAACATTTAAAAACTAAAAAAAAAGATCTTTGTCTAATATTAAAACTCGTTTAATTATCAGAAATATGTTTGTGTAACAAATATTTAAAAAAAAAAAATAAAGAAATTAGGAAGATGGAAAATACTTCTTGCATGGCACTAAAATATACTGGGTTGACTGTACATCACATTATTTACTTAGGTGTCATATCCTGTGATTTTAAGCTAAATGTGACAACATTATTAGCACTTACAATAATTTATAAGAAAAATAACACAGTCATGAATTGGGGCAATAAATCAGCCCCTCAGCTGGGCATGAGAGAGAAATATTTGATAAAGGCAGATATTTAAAAAAAAAAAACCCAATTGTTAATCAGCATTCATGAGTAAAAGTCCAAGTAATTATTGCTGCCCTCATCACTGAGCTGTCATTAATCATTATTTAAATACAAACACAATATATTTTATGAAATTCTCTAACACCTTTGTAACATTCATGACCTTTTTTTGTCAGATTGGACACGTGATTAGGCTTCTGTAGCCTAGCTTCTGTCTTTTTATTTAATACTACTACTACTAACATTAATAATAAGAAGAAGTTTTTCACAAAATAAAAAGGAAAAGAATGGTTTGACAAACACAAGAAGCAGGATACTGAGGAATAAGACATGGTGTTACTCATAGTAAACAAAGCTGAATGAAATTAAAGCAAGGTTGAGACAACAACAAGAAAATCTAGATCATATTTACAAAGAAAATGAAATTGAAAAACAAGATTTTAAAAAGACATCAGATAA